TAATATTATTAATATATAAATAATTTTAATTAATTAATTAAAATTTATATTTTTAATAAATTTTAATTATAAAAAATATATTTTTATATTTTTTTACTTTGTGTCACGACTCACGAGGAACATATGGTAAAAAAAAAAATCCAAAACGTTATCCTGCATCGTTGCTCGTTTCAAAAAGTATGCTCAGGTGCCAATCCATAGATGCCACGTTCACTGTAGCCTGACATTTGGCCTTTCCACATCATTAGTCCTTGGAAGTCAAGTTGCAACTTGCAACTTTGCCTTAAAATTTTTTAATCTAAACTTAGCATTCATGGGGTAGCGGTTCACACTAGATATTTCTCAGATGTTTAGTCAGTTCTCCACTTTTGTAATTATAAGTGTTAGTTTTTAATTTTTTTTTTTTTTAACATTTTGACACGGGATGAGTTCGAAATCCGTTCAGGGAGGGGAGAATGCACCTAGCAAGTTAGCTAATACCAGTGGGCCTCTAGGCCCAGATGCAGTATTAGTTTTTAATTTGTATTTTAAATAGTCATAAAAATATATAAAAATTAATATTAATTCTAATATTAATGTCAAGTAAATAAATTTAATTAAATAATTAATAAATTAAAATTAATTTTTATTTTTTAATATAAATTTATAAATAAATATATTTATTATATTTTTAAAAACACAAATTAAAAAAACTTTAATTATAAACTATCAAGATACCTTTAATAAAAATTTATTATTTTAATTTGAATTTTTCAAAATCTGTTCGTAACTCACTATAAGCTCGAGAATTATAACAAAAAAGAAAGGAAAAAGAGAAGATGTGTGCAAATGAGATCTCCGTCAACAAGAAAAGGAAAAGGATTGAATAGAAAAACTCTCTCATCAACATGTTTACTCATAAGATATTTTTCAAGCTAAATTGTATTTACTTTAACAAGATTCTCTTTTGTTATTGGTTTGAAATTCTAACATTTTTTTTATTGTATAATAGGAGACAATCATCTCTCATCCCTTACTCCACTTCATCCGCATGTCTTATGACTCAAATTCAAAATCTCTTACTTTCAATGGAATAAAATAACTATTGATTTATTTAGGTGATTGACAAAATTCTAACATTAATTTTAAATTAAGGTTAATTTTAATTTGTGAGTCTCAATTTAATATTAGTAATTTCAAAAGTTGGAGACGATTGAAGTAGTTGACTATTTACTCTGTAATTTTGGTTTGGTGCCTTAATATTGATTATTTTTGCAATTTATAATCCATTAATTTTGAGTGATTTCTTATTCTTAATTGTTGAAATTTATTTATAAGTATTTATCACCTATTACCATAGGTAAAGCTTCAAAGTCCTCTTTAGATGTATTTATTATGTAGAATCTTTAATTTCCTTTGGCTAAGGTATGTAGTGCCTATTATTGAAATTTATTTATAAGTATTTATCACCTATTACCATAGGTAAAGCTTCGAAGTCCTCTTTAGATGTATTTATTATGTAGAATCTTTAATTTCCTTTGGCTAACGTATGTAGTGCCTATTATAAGTTTATTAGATATATATATATATGTTCATTTAAAAAGAAGAAAATAAAAAATTAAAATGTTTTAATATTTATTAAAATATTTTAAAATTTTTCTATAAAATTAATGATTAGAGTATTTTCAAAAAAAAAAAAAAAAAACCCATATTCTCAAATACCCATGGTCAAACAGCTAGCAATATGCAAAAGGTCAAACCAACCCGGCCGTCTTTACTGTCCTACGAAAGTGGTCCAAGCCTCAGGAGTTCTTGTCAACAACCTGTTTTTGTTGACAAACATTCCACCACTAATTAAAAAATTTAAACGATTTAAATGATAGTACCATAGAAATTCTTCAAGACTACCTCATCAACAGTTTTATGATGGGTGTCTACGATTAATTACCAATTACCAATCCAACTTAATAATCACTTTCTCCGATTTTCAAAAAAAAGATAATCACTTTCTACGGGAAGAACCATAGAGGATGCTTCATGATTCAGATGCGTCTTTCCATTCTGCGGCGTACGTACGTACGCACGTACGCATCCACCACAATAAAAAGCAATCTTAAAATTTTATTATGGTTTTTTTATTTTAATAAAAAAATTTTAATATCTTTATTTTAATAAAAAAAATTTTGTTTTTGTATTTTATTTAATAAAATCTTATTTTAATCTCTATAATTTTTTTTTTGTTCTTTTATTTTTTTATACTGTGATACATTAAATAAT